CTGAATGTGTTCCCATCCGTTTACATCCCAGCCCAGTGACTGGAACATACATGATTTCCAGGGAGCACTTGTGGGAAGAATGCATGAATAATTGAATGAAAGGAAATTAAACATGAATCTTTTTACCCCTCTTCCATCAGTTTCCACTTTATTAGTTTTCTTCTCTCTTTTCTCCTTTCTCATCACCCTGTTTCCTCTCTTATTTTCCTTTTTGCTCATTAGTCACAGTTAACTGATGAATCCTGCATTTCTACCAAGTTACACGAATTTGCCCAGCCTTGCTTTTATGGCTTATCCCCCTCCCTCTTTTCAGAAAGAAGAGCAGTTATGGGGGTTCCTGCTGGTGGATCCAGACACATCATTGCAGAGAAGGGACTTTGTTTTTCCCCATGAGCCATCTTTGGGTCCATTTTCAAAGGGCTGGATTCTTGCTGTGATCATTTGTGATTTATAGCAAGAAATAGATATTTGGTCTTCCTCCTGTTTCTGGCAGAGAACTCCCCAAACCCTTGGAATATCCTCAGTGATGAGAGCAATAAAATTGTCTTTTGTTAAGTTAATGGGTTGACTTTTGGACCACACCTACGGATGGAAAGCTGATTGTCCGGAGAACCAACCATGTGATTGGAGGGTTGGGACTTTCAGTCTGCTTTCCTGGCTCCCCAGTAGACCCCAAGGACCCCTTACCTCCAGGGAAGGTAGAAGAGCCAGAAGTTGAATCTATAAACTATGTAAGGATAGGGGAACTACCCTGGCAGTCCAGTGGTTAAGACTCTGCATTTCAAGGCAGGGGCATGGGTTCAGAGAACTAAGACCCCACATACTGTGGGTGTGCCCCTCCCCCCAAAATTAAAAAAAGAAAGAAAACAGAAAACTTGAGAGATGAAGTTTAGAGAGCTTCCCGGTTGGTGAACAGGTGGAGGAGCTGGGGGAGTGATGCTCCTGGAGAAGGCGTGTGAGCTCTGTGCCAGGTTCCCATACCTTGCCCTGGGCATCTCTTACATCTGGCCATTCCTGAGTTATACTGTTTTACAATAAACTAGCAATCCAGAAAGTGAAATGTTTCTCTGAGTTCAGGCAGAGGATTTAACAAACTAATCACACCCAAGGAGGAGGTCGATGGTGGGAATCTTTAATTTATAGCCAGTGAACTGGAAGGACAGATTAACAACCTAGACTAGTGTTTGACACCCTGAGTTAGAGGGACTCATTGGGACCTCTGATTTATAACAAGTGTGTTGGCCAGAAGGAGGGGTCACAACCTGGACTTGCCACTGGAGTCTGAAGTGGGGGTGGGCAATCTTGTAGGACTGACCCTTCTACCTCTGGAATCTGTTGTTGTCTCAGGCAGATGAACTGTAGGACAACCTGATGGTGTCCAGAGTATTGTTTGTGGATGTGAGGGAACCTCTCCTACAGTGGAATTGGTACCAGAACCTAAGACTAGCAAATTCCCTGGGATGATATATCGGTGGCTTCCCTGATCCTTGGTTCTTGTTCCCAGATTTTGGGAGACCAAAGGGTGGGAGGGGACAGGGAACACTGACATGGTGCACAACTATGGATGACATTTGTTGGAGGGGACTCAAAGAATGATGCCTTCTGTTAGCGTCCAGGGCAGCTGTGATGGGAGGCATCAGAAAAGTGATGCTGAGGCTGCCTTCATCAGGCTCAGCTCCCTGTGGAGAAGCTCCCAGAGCAAATCCAAGTCTTTTCCTTGGGAAGTGTACAAACCTCAAATGCCTAGGGAACCCCAGCTGTCCCATCACACCTGTAAGATGAGTTAAAGTATTGTTTTGGTATTTTGTTCATAATGAACCTTTTTTTTTTTTTTTTTGCCTTATTTGGTGTGCAAAAGCATACCTTTACAATAGTATCTTATCAGTGTTCAACAGTGACCTAAATGGGAAGTAAATCCAAAAAAGGAGGATATATGTATACATATGGCTCATTCACTTTTCTATATATTAGAAACTAACACCATGTTGTAAAGCAACTATACTCCAATAAATTAAAAAAAAATCTTAATTGTTGTTATTTAGTCAGTAAGTCATGTCCAACTGTTTACGACCCCATGGACTATAGCCCACCAGGCTTCTCTGTCCATGGGATTTCTCAGGCAAGAATACTGGAGTGGGTTGCCATGCCCTCATCCAGGGGATCTTCCCAACCCAGGGATCGATCCAGTGTCTCCCACATTGGCAGGCTGATTCTTTACCACTGAGCTAACAGGAAAGCCCATCATCTGTGACTATTTCCTCCCATTCTGTTGACTTTTCAGTTTGTTGATTGTTTCCCTGGTTGTGCAAAAGCTCTTCAGTTTAGTATAGTTTCACTTGTTTATTTTAATCTCATTGCATATGCTTTTGGTGTCTTACCAAAGAAATCATTGCCAACACTAATGTCAGAGGTTTTTATTTCCCCTGTGATTTCTTTGGGAGTTTCATGATTTCAAGTCTTAGATTTAAGTCTTTGATCTATTTCGAGTTAATTTTTGTGAGTGGTGTAAGATAAGACTCCTGGCTTTATATTCAGAAGATTTGAAAGCAGTATCTGGAAGAGACATCTGCATACCCATGTTCACTGTAGCATTTTTCATAACAGCCAAGATATGGAAGCAACCTAAGTGTCACTCAACAGATGAATGGATAAAGAAGATGTATATACATACAGTGGAATATTATTCAGCCACGAGGAAAAGAATATCCTGCTATTTGCAGCAACACAGATGGACCTTGAAGGCATTAGGTGCAGTGAGATAAGTCAAACAGAGAAAGATGAATACTGTGTGATACCACTGATATATGGAATCTAAAAAAGCTGAACTTGCAGTAACAGAAAGTGTAATAGAATGATGCTTACCAGGGGTTGGAGAGTGGGGGCTTTGGAGAGGTGATATTTATGGATGCAAACTTGCAACTTATAGGTAAAGAAATTCTTGAGAGCTAGAAAATTAACGTATTACCATGCAATGACACTGGCCTGATTTTTGGGAGCCTGGCCTGGGCTGTCCTTTGGATTTGGCTTTGTGGATCACCACAGAGGTCTTGAATAAGTCCTCCCTCCCTCTGAGTCTTGGTGTTCTCTCCTGTGTAACAAAGGGGAGCGTGCCAAGAATTGCAAATATCCCATAGAGCTATATCATGAGATTTGTTGTTACCCCAGGTGTCTCTTGAGAAAATAAAATTTCATCCTTGTGAGTCAGGGAAGTCTTTCCATCTGAGCATGTTGGTGGATTTCTATTTCTGCTCTCTGCCCTGGATTGAACAATAATCCAAGCCTCCTGAAATTAGTGAAGGCTTTGCTACCCTGGCCCACAAAGCCCCTTTTTATTTGCCCTTTCTGCCTAAACTATCAATGTTTTCTTTTGCCCATTTTGCTGATGTTGCTAGTTTCTGAAGGCTAAATATGGAGATAGAGCCCCTGAGATGCTTCACTCAGTGAGTCCTTTTCAGTTATTGTTTAAGGAGCAACCATGCAGCTATTTCTTTTTTAAAAAATATTTATTTATTTGGCTGTGGGTCTTACTTGAGGCAGGTGGTCCTCTCTCTAGTTGTGGTGCATGGGCTTAGTTGCCCTGAGGCATGTGGGATCTTAGTTCCCAGACCAGGAATCTCATTCGAGTCCCTGGCGTTGGAAGGTGAATTCTTATCCACCACACCACCAGGGAAGTCTCCCTTTAGCCATTCTTCATTGCAGAAAGTCTTTCTCAGCAGAAGGAAGCTGCCATTCCCATGCATACACTTGACCATGCCACTTCCCTCCTTTTGCCTTCTTTCTTTTTAAAAATTTTATTTTATATTAGAGTATAGTTGATTTATGGGCTTCCCAGATGGTGATAGTGGTAAAGAACCCAACTGCCAATGTAGGAGATTTAAGAGATGTGGGTTTGATCCCTGAGTTGGGAAGATCCCCTAGAGGAGGGAATGGCAACTCACTCCAATATTCTTGCCTGGAGAATCCCATGGACAGAGGAACCTAGTGAGTTACAGTCCATAGAGTTGCATAGAGTCAGACATGGCTGAAGCTATTTAGCATGCAGAGTTGATTTATAATGTTGTGTTAGTTTCAGGTATACGGCAAAGTGATTCAGTTATACATACATGTGCATCTATTCTTTTTCAAATTATTTTCCCATTTAGACTATCAGAGAATGTAGAGTAGAGTTCCCTGTGCTATACAGTAGGTCCTCGTTGATTATCTGTTTTTTGTATAGTGGTATGTACATGTCAATCCCAAACTCTCGATTTTCCCCGCCCCCACCCACCTTTCCCCTTTGGTAACCATATGTTTGTCTTCTATATCTGTGAGTCTGTTTCTGTTTTGTCAATAAGCTTATTTGTGTCATTTATTAAGATTCTACATGTAAGATCATATGGTATCTGTCTATCTCTGACATATTTCACTCAGTATGATAATCTCTAGGTCCATCCGTGTTGCTACAAATGTCATTATTTCATTATTTTTAATGACTGAGTAATATTCCATTGTATAGATGTATCACATCTTCTTGGGCTTTCCCTGTGGCTCAGTGGTAAAGAATCTGCCTACAATGTAGGCAACTCGGGAGATGCAGGTTTGACCCCTGGGTCAGGAAAATCCCTTGGAGGAGGACATAGCAACCCATTCCAGTATTCTTTTTTTTTTTTAATTTATTTTTTTCATTTATTTTTATTAGTTGGAGGCTAATTTCTCCACAACATTGTAGTGTTTCTTGTCATACATTGACATGAATCAGCCATGGATTTACATGTATTCCCCATCCACACGGAGGAAACCCGATCTGAAAGAGACANTAAATAGTGCTGCAGTGAGCATTGGGATGCATTTATCATTTCAAATTAGGGTTTCCATCTTTTCTGGATATGTGTCCAGGAGTGGGATTTCTGGGTTTTACGGTAGTTCTTCTTTTAGTTTTTTAAGAAACCTCCATACGGTTCTCCATAGTTGGCTGTACCCTCGCCTGCCTTCTTAAAGATGGCTCTCTGCTTTCATTGCAGAGCTCCTCAGACCGGGAGTCCATCCTGACCATCCTCCAGCTTCTTGGAGATCTGCTTTCTGTTGGTGAGTAGGTCATGACCTCATTCCTCCTGTGCTGGACATGGGAGGCATGCAGATGCGCTGTCTCCCAGGAAACTGTGTGGCCTGGGGGTTTGCTCCAAGCTTTCTGTGAGAGACAAAATCACCATAAGATGGATGTACTTTGGGCTTTTCAATCATGTCACCCACCCTACAGTGACCCAGATTTAGGAGGCGTTTAGACTCTGGGTGGCTGTTCTGTGACATCTCATCTCTGGGGCCAAGGACCTCCATCCCTCATGGTTTGACCTCTCACCTCCCCCTCTTCCCTCATCATGGCCCATTTAGAGAGCCAGGTGTTGGCAGCTCTGTTTCATGAGTCAAGTGGAGACAGGAAGACGAGGCAGGACCTAGACTTAGCAGTGTGGTCAGCCATGACATTTTCCGGGATAAGGGGACAGAAGTCACTACGGTGGTCATCAACTATCAGCTCTTTTCCACCTGAAGTTCTTGGAAAACACAGCTTCTTGGGCATTCCACTTCTATGAAGCCAGCCACATTGCATTAGAAAGACACATTTGTACCAAATAGAAATACCACAGTGACCGTCGCTCCAAAGTCCCAGACCCTCAGGTTACAGTTTCAGAAGGAAGGGTCTGCTCATGTCGAGGTTTACCACGGGCCGTGCTGCTTTCCAGGGGGAGGGCGACACCTCTTCTACATTCTTCTTCACCCTCTGGAGGTGAAGCCCATTTGTTCTCTGGGATAGTTCTGCCTTTGGCTGGTCCAGTGGTGTCTGGAACTCTTAGAATGAAACCACAGGGTTCGCCTTCTGAAATAGGTACTGATTATTGCCCCTTTAGTAGAGGATGAAAAATCAGAGTCTTCTTTGATTATAATCTCCCATCCTGCTGACCACCTTGGTTCAAGAGCATAGAGAATCAGGTGGGTCCCCTTCCAGGTTGAAACGTAACCACTGCCTTTGGGCTTATCCTGGGGTGATAGGGGAGGGCCCTGTTTAAAACTACTCTAAGGTAGAAAGACCAACATATTTTACCTTAGCCCAGACCTTCTTCAAAACTCCCTAGATATGTGATTGGGTGTTTATTTCTCAGTGGATTATTCTGCTCATTTCCATATGTCCCTCACATCAATTAGTGAAGGCCAGCACAAAATAATCATTAATACCACTCATGAAATTATTCTAGATAAGCTATCAAACCAAATCTTCTTATATTAATAGATGATTCAAACCTAATAGCTGAGGGATACTGATATTCTTACTTTAATAAACTATATGATTATACATCAGCCTATATGATATTTCTTTACATGTGGTGTGGGCCTTCCCAGGTGGCTCAGTGGTAAACAAATCTGTCTGCCAGTGCAGGAGACGCATGAGATGTGAGTTTGATTCCTGGGTTGGGAAAATGCCCTGGAGGAGGAAATGGCAACCCAACTCCAGTATTCTTGCATGAAGAATCCCCACAGGCAGAGGAGCCTCACAGGCTATAGTCTATGAGGTTGCAAAGAGTTGGACTCAACTTAGGGACTAAACAACATCACAAATACATGCAACACAAGTGCACACATATATTGAGACTTCATAGAGTCTTAGGAAAGCAGAGTTTAGGCTCTGTTTAGTATACCGGCTATATGTTCTCAACTATTCATTATTTCTCCATTTCTCACCCCTCACCCCTACCCCTGGCCCCTTACCTAACAGCACAACTTTACACAAGATGATTCATGAACTCCACACTTACTGTTTCTGAGATGAGATGAATTAATACCTGCTCAGTCTCTTGCCGTGAGATCTGCTTCCTGCTCCAAGGACAGGAGGGTAGTTACGTGAGACTCAGGGCCCCTCTGCTCGCCCCCTCAGGTACAGACCGGAGGATCCGCTACATGATCAGCAAGGGTGGGAGTGAAGCTCTTCTGCGGACCCTGGTGGAAACAGCCAGGACGGCTTCTCCGGACTATGTCATCCTCCTGCCGCTCTTCCGGCTGCTGGCCAAAGTTGGCCTCCGAGGTACCCACTCCCCCAGACCCAAGGATGGCTGGAAGGGTATCTGGGGATGTTATCATGGGAAGGATTTGGGAAGCTTTTATGGGCGAACAGCTAGGTGATGATGGCAGGACCCGCCCTGCAGGCAAGCACATCCCAGGTACCTGGGGGCTTAGGACCGGACCCAGAGCAGGAATGGACTACCTGGGGCATGAGACATATGGAGGACAGAGAGGAGATATTCCAAGGAGATTTTCAATCACTTTATTTAAAATTTTTGTTTATTTATTTTTGGCTGCACCGGGTCTTTGTGCTGTGCAGGTTTTTTTCTCTAGTTGCAGCAAGAGGGGGCTATTCTCTAGTTACAGTGCATGGGTTTCTCATTGCGGTGGCTTTTCTTGTTACAGCGCAGGGACTCTAGGTGCTCGGGCTCCATAGTCGTGGTGCATGGGCTTAGTTGCTCCATAGTATGTGGAATCTTCCTAGAGCAGGGCTCGAACCCATGTCTCTCATATTGGCAGGCAGATTCTTAACCACTGGACCACCAAGGAAGCCCTCCCTAAATCCTCACTGTGTTTAGGGCATGCTCAAGTATGTGTGACCTTACTTAAGTAGTTAAGTCTGCAGAGACTGTTTCCAAATAACATAACATTCCTAGATTTCAGGCAGACATGACTTTTGGGGAGCCAGTTATCTTTTTTCATTAAAATTTTTTTAAATCATTTGTTAAGTTTATTAAGGACTTCCCTGCTGGCTCAGACGGTAAAGAATCTGCCTGCCATGCAGGATATTGGTGTTCAATCCCTGGGTTGAGACGATCCCCTGGAGAAGGGAATGGTTACCTACTCCAGTATTCTTGCCTGGAGAATTCCATAGACGGAGGAGCCTGGTGGGCTACAGTCCATGGGGTCGCAAAGAGTTGGGCACGGATATGCCATTGCTTAAGACAATTTGTTATTGGAATATAGTTGCTTTACAATGCTGTGTTAGTTCCCGCTGTGTAGCAAAGTGAATTAGCTCTACATATATCGCCTCTTTTTCGGGTTTCCTTCCCATTTGGGTCACCGTAGAGCCTTGAGTAGAGTTCCCTGTGCTGTGCAGTAGGTTCTCATTAGTTATCTATTTTATACACAGTATCAATAGCGTGTATACATTAATCCCAGTCTCCCAATTCACCCCGCCCCTCCTTTCTGGAGGGACAGTTTTCAACTCACTAGTGATATAGTGTTAGTGTCAGTCACTCAGTTGTGCCCAACTCTCTGTGACCCCATGGACTGCAGCCCACCAGGCTCCTCTGTCCATGGAATTTTCCAGGCAAGGATACTGAAGTGGATTGCCATTTCCTTCTCCAGGGGATCTTCCCAACCCAGGGATTGAACCTGGGTCTCTTGCACTACAGGCAGCTTCTTTACCAACTGAGCTACTAGAAAAACCCAAAGAAGTCATATAGAAGTGGTGCTTCCCTGGTTGAAGCGAAGATGAGGGTTTAGAATTCTTTCCACTTACACTCCACACCCAATTCTCTTTCCACACGGACCCTGAAACACTTCCCTAAAACCCTAGGACTTTTTGGAACACAGTTGAAAAAGCCTCGGCACCCAGGCTGCATGTAAATGTTACAAATTAGTCATAACAGTTAAGCTCTAATTGTGTGCAGTCTTAGACCACAGGGCTTCCCTGGTGGCTCAGAGGGTAAAGAATCTGCCTGCAATGCAGGAGACTCAGCTTCGACCTGTGGGTCGGGAAGATCCCCTGGAGAACGGAATGGCTACCCATTCCAGTATTCTTGCCTAGAGAATTCCATGGACAGAGAAGCCTGGTGGGCTACAGTTCATGGCATCACAAAGAGTCAGACAGGACTGAGCAGCTAACACTAACACTTCATACAGACCACAGTCAAGAAGCTCAGTTCCTCTGAATGTTGTGAAGGCAGCAACAGCTGAGGGCACAGGGCTCTGGGGTTACTCTTTCCTTTCAACGTTTAGAACTCTGCTTTGAGTCCCTTCAACATTTCACAAACAATGACTGAGACCCAGGCCTCAGCCAGCACCTGCAGGAGCATGTTCCAGACAAAACACTTAGAATTCCCTCACTGATCACTCAGCAGATATTTACTGCATATCTCCCAGGGCTGTGCACTGTTCTAGGCACATAGGAATGCCACTGTCACCAAGACCGATAAGGGGGTCTGCTCTTGCAGGAATTACAGTCAAGTGTGGGAGGGTAGAAAGAACATAATTAGCTAGATAATAGCAGACAATGATAATTAACTAGGTAGTAACTGGAAAGAAAAGAAAGGGTGATGTTCCTCTATGATGGTGTAGACAGAGAGAGGTGATATTTGAGCCTAATCTTGAAGGATGAGAAGAAGTCAATGAAACCAAGAGTGGGCTAAGTGAACTCCAGGAAGACAGAAGAAATATGATATACACCCTAAATAGCAGAGGCTGGGGACTCAGACTTGGGTTTTAGGCTTGAAAGTGAAAGTGTTAGTTGTTAGTTGTGTCTGGCTCTTGTGACCCTGTGGACTGTAGCCCACCAGGTTCCTCTGTCCATGGAATCCTCCAGGAAAGAATACTGGAGTGAGTTGCCATTCTCTTCTTCTGGGAATCTTTCCAATCCAGGGATTGAACCTGGATCTCCTGCATTGCAAGTGGATCCTTTACCATCTAAGCCACCAGGGAAGCCCTGGCTTGATGCTTATTAGCAGCGTGAACTTGTGCGACCTTGGGCAAGTTACCATTGGGCTCTCATTGACAAACTGGGTCTCAGTATGTAATTCTTGGATCACTCGCAGTAAGGATTAAGCAAGCTTGTATGTCACCTGCTTTGCATGTAGGGTCAGAGGCTTGACAAATAAGAGTCATGTAGGTCTTATAGGAGAAAGAGATGAACCAGGGAAGTGATTTTCAAGTTATAGACCCCAAATATTACCATTGCCATAATTACATCACCATTCCTTCTGCCATCAAAGACTGTAATCCTCCATGTTAGCATTCAAGCTGTCAGGGGCTGAGCTGAACAGATCAGCAATGAGATTGGCTGCTCATGAATGGAGCAGGATAGGTATCTTTCTTTTCTGATAAAGGGAATGGGTTATATGAGTTCAGTCACAGTCTCTTTGCTGGTGTCCTTTGGTTTAGAGATAAATATTGGTAATTAAGGTTTAGGATGTTACCTGTTTTACTCATTTCTACCTGTGATGAATCTGATAGTGACTGTATTCTTGCTAACACAAACATGATTTGGGCATTGCACTTTGGAAAGGACAGAGATAAATGTGACAGGTGGCATAGTCATTTGTTATCCTGTGAAAACCAGGAGCATAGAATAAAAAGTACTTTCTATTTATTTCTTATGCTTATTCACTATTATTAAAATAATAATGACTCATCCACAAGTCTGAATATCAGGTTTATTTTGATCAATATTTTCGAGAAATCTTGGGAGAAAATTTTATTTTCTGAAATTGTGTTTTCACCTTTTATTGTAAAGTCCTCTATCATATAGAATGATGACCTCTTATATACCTATCACTTAGATCGAACCATTGTTAACATTTTATCATATTTCCTTAACCTATTTATGTTTGTTTGAAATAGTCTAAGGAAAATTAGAGATAGCATTTTACTCCTAAACACTTTTAAGTGAATTTTTTGAAGAGAGACATGTTCTTATATAATCACAATACCATAATCACAAATCTAGCAAATTAATAAGACAAGCATATTTATATTCATTCCAGTTTCTCTAAAATGTTCCCAGCATGCCTTTTACAGACATGCTCAGGGAAGGATCCAATCAAGGTCCACATACTATATTTGAATTTATGTGACTTGTTTAGTTGCTAAGTTGTGTCCAACTCTTTGCAGTTGCCCCTGGACTATAGCCTGCCAGCCACCTCTGTCCATGGGATTTCCTAGGCAATTATACTGGAATGGGTTGCCATTTCCTTCTCCAGGGAATCTTCCCAACCTGGGGATCAAACCCACATCTCCTGCAATGCAGGCTGATTCTTCACCACTGAGCCACCAGGGAAGCCCAAGTTACGTCACTTAAGTATCCTTGATTCTAAAACTGTCTTAAAGAAATAAATTTATACCCAACTAATATCTAGCTCATGTTTGAGAACAACCAGAAGCATTCTTACATACAGGGGATAAGAGTCATACAACCCACAAGGCTTCATGTAAATAATACTTGAAGAATAATGGTCCGTATGAGTACCCTTGATGGGCTCTTTTGAGCCATCTGGTTCCAATGGAGACATACTTTAGCATTTTCCACTAGATCTGAAAAGTCTCATTGCCATGACCATCCTCTTCCCTCCACCATCTTTGCTGTCCTCTCCCCCATGTAGCATACAACTGTCAGAATTAATGTGCAACACAACAAAGATGGATTGATATGTGTTCACAGATAAAAAGTTTGGACAGAAGGCCCTGGAATTGGAAGCACTTGATGTGACATTGATTCTGGCCAGGAAAAACCTGTGCCACAGCCAGAACCTCCTCCACTGTCTCTGGGCTCTGCGTGTCTTTGCCTCGAGTGGTAAGCAACTCAACTGTGGCTCTCTGGGGTGGCTTCCAGATCTGGGCTGGAGCACCTGGAAACCATTTGGGAGCATGGTTGGAAGGAGGGCTTGGGTGGAGGACAGACGCAATCCCAACAAGATAAATAAACCACGAGGAGCCTCACATTCTAGAGGCTGTAGAGGTGAGAAGTTATTTCTTTGTCTCCTCCTCAGCTGTGGAGAATCTTTTTTTTCTCCTTTTATTTATTTTTAATTGAAGGGTATTTGCTTTACAGTATTGTGTTGGTTTCTGCCAAACATCAGCGTGAATCAGTCATAGATGTACATATGTCCCCTCCTTCTTGAACCTCTATCCCACCTCCCTCCCACCCCAGCCCTCTAGGCTGTTTCAGAGCCCCGGGTTGAGTTCCCTGAGACATACAGCAAATTCTCGTTGGCTATCTATTTTACATATGGTAATGTATGTTTCCATGTTACTCTCTCCATACGTGCCACCCTCTCCTCCCCCTGTAGCCCCCCACCCCGTGTCCATAAATCTGTTCTCTGTGTCAGTGTCCCTGGAGAGCTCTTGAATCAGTTCTTGAAATGAGAGGTCCATCACATCTTCCCTTGGGAGCTACTCATTTTAGCACTCTACATCTCTCTGTCAGTACTACAAGGCGAAAAAGACCTATTCCAGGGGAAGGCAGGCTTTATTGAGTCCTTACATCCAAGGCACAGTGCAATGTGTTACAGCTGTCAAGAGCAGCCCTCACATCACAAATCTCTCCACTATGTCCCTGAAGTCATGCATAGATCATGACATCCTTTACCCAAGTTTGTCTCCCATCGTGTCTTAACATGGTCCTTCAGGTAATTTGATATATCATAGCAGAAGTGTTGATGTTATTTGCCATCTCCTAATTTGGATTATTTCTGAGTATCGTTAACAATCCTGTATGTAGACTTAGCATCTGATAGCTAAGAAGAGGAAAAGGAAGCTTAGAAGAGTGAAGAAATTGCTTGAGTTCACACAGGTAAGTCATGAGGGCTGAGATTCTAACTGCAAAAGTTGTGTTTATTCCACTCTCCACACAGAGACAGTTCTTATTAATAGATTAGATTCTGTACCATCTATTTCAGTATAATGAACATAGATTTTATTTCTCTTTTCTAAGCTCCTTTTCTGCAGAAAGAAAGTGGCAATTATTTAGATATAATACTCTCTAGAGGAAAGAATGTGAGCTTAGAGCCAATAAGACCTGAACTTGACTCTGATTTCATTTCTTGAGTCATATGACATGGGCACTTAACTTGTTTAACCTCAGTTTCTTCCTTTGTAAAGTCAGAGTTGTAATAAGACCTCATAGACTTGGTGGATGGGTAAGTAAGATCATGTTCAGGGGTAAGCTCATCACACAACAGTTGCTAAGGCAGTGTTTGCTTCTCTGCTTTCCTCTTTTCCCTCAATCCTTTGAGATAATAGGAAGCATGCCCATACAGGGAATTAATAGGTGACCTTTTCTGTAACCATCCTCAGAACTACCAAAGTAGTAGGGACATGTTTCATTGGTTGATTTCAGGAGTAAGTGTGGTATGTGCCTGTGTGTACGTGTCTGTGTGTGACCAGTCACTCAGTTATGTCCGACTCTTTGGACTGTGACTCACCAGGCTCCTCTGTCCATGGAATTCTCCAGGCAAGAATACCGTAGTGCATTGCTATTCCCTACTCCAGGAGGTCTTCCTGACCCAGGGAATGAACCCTCATCTTACCACTGAACCAGCTTGGAAGTGAATAAGCATGGAGGACCCATCAGAAGGCAATATTTCTAGGGAATAATGAGATAGATGCTTGACTCTGTGTTCACAGATAGACTCTTCATTCACATTTGTATATGTTGACCAGATAATCAGACAATATTTCAGAGAGGTTAAAAGAATCTGTCCAAATCAGTTTCTAAAAAAAGGAAATTCTAAGTGAGAGGCTGTGGCTTTGCATAAAGGACAACTCTTATTGATGAGTAGGCAGAAGGTATGTCATTCCCATTTGAAGCTTTCCAACAGCATGAGGTTTGAGATATCTTATTTTGGTTTCGTAGCAGGGGTTCCCAACCTCTGGGATCTAATGCCTGATGATCTGAGGTGGAGCTGATGGAATAATAATAGAAATAAAGTGCACAATAAATGTAATTCACTCAAATCATCCCCAAACCACCCCCCACTCCAGTCTGTTGAGAAATTATCTTCCACAAAATTGGTACCTGGTGCTGAAAAGGTTGGGGACCACTGTTGTAAAGAATAGTTAAACTGAATAACCTACTCTCATTATATACATTGATTATAGAGATCTTGAAGAATTCCTTTAGCAGGGAGCTCTGAAAAATGCGGAGATTTGCCTATGGATATGAAGAAATGGCCATTTGTCTCCTATTCCAAGACAACATTTACTGTACAAACTATTTCATAAGATATTTAAAAAAATATATGATCAGTCTCTACACATCAAGTTTACTGATGAGAGGCAAGCAGAGTTCATGAAGCCCATGGATTTCTGTCTCTTTGGTGAATTGTTAGCCACTATCGAATGTTCCAGCAAGTTTTCTAAACAGCTCCTATCTGCAAAAGAAGTTGGCTGGAACCAGAATGGCTCTGTGACAGCCAGCAAACCCTTCAGCAGCTTTCACATGGCCAATGGGGATGTTTATAGACCTGCCAGAGGTCTAACCTTGGGCAGTCATCCAGCATGGAAGAACTTGGTGAGGATTTTTTATTGTTATTCTCTCTCAATTCCAAGTTGAAAGCCTTCCATGCTAGAATTCACGCTCTTAAAACTATTTCCTCCCTAACTGTACTTAATGCTAGAGTTTTGCTGAATTACTTGCCAGGAGTTTACTCCAGCATGTTTTCCCAATTTAGAAGTACAGACTGAGTAGCCTTGGGAGGGAAAATTGATGGACAGAACTCGGATGCCAAATTCTTGAATTTTGATCCAGGCAGTGACCGCCTGTACTAGCCTCAGGAGGAATGGACACATAGTGGATGTTCCAGGAATATGCACTTCTCGTGGTAACTAAGACATCAGCCTCAGTCTCTCTCTGGTGGACTGTACTGGGATGAACTATATTGGAGACTCCAGTTTTCCATTTTTTCTCCTTTCCTGAGGCTTGGAGCAAGCCAGGATAAACCTCCCTTGATTCTCTCTCTTTGCTTCTCCATGGCCCCCTTGCTGCCATTCATGTTTCCTGGAACAAAGCTGGCCCAAAGCACAAGGCACTAGGTCTCTGTTTTAGCATGTTACTGAAAATGGGGCCCAGCTGCCTGCCACTCAAAAGCCATCAAAGAGACCAGGTTGGTAGAAAGGAAAGTTTGCTTTACTTTGGATGCTGGCAACCAGAGGGGGAGGGTAGATGCCAGTCCAACGATGGACTCCGTGCCCTCCTCCCACCTCCCACCCTGACAATCAGGGGTGAAGGGCTTTTATAGGCTGAGGAAGGGGCCGACATGCAGAAACATCACAGCTGGCTCCAACAGCCATCTTGAAACTGATCATCAGTGGTCCCACCAGTGTCATCTTGATTGTTTTAAGTACAGTTAATCTTTAGTTCCAGGTTCGGTTTGTTTCCATTTTTTTGAGGCCAACTCTGGGAATTGTGGCAGCTTATGTCATGGCTACAGTCTGGTCATCATGTACTTAACTTCTTCCACCTTGTGGGAATTTCAGCATCTACAAGACAGCTTACAGGATATGGCTCACTATATTATCATCAGCTCTTAAGAAGGAACGAAAAGTCCTTGACTTTGCTTATTGACTAAACTATTATTATTTGGTTTCCTTTGGTAGCTTTATTTGCTTCTGCATTTTCTCACTTTTCTGATTAAACTTTTTCTTTTGTTAAAGTTTTTCCATAGACAGAAGTGGGGAGGGGGCAAGGACCACAGGATCCTGCTCTGTTTCACTACAACAGTGCAGTAAAGGAAAAAAAAAAGAGTCACACCTTGGAAGATGGCCTTCTTTCCTTCTCCTAACTGAACATTGTGCCCCCAGCCAAACTGATTCCATTTAGTATCCTGTAGATTCCTCTTATTTTTTGATGTGACCAGAGCTCTTCCTAAAGTGAACTGAATGGAGTGGGGTGCTGGAGATATTGTGGAGAGGCTGGAGCATCATTGAAGATGAGAGTGACATTTCTGTATCCAAAATACTTACCTGAAGCCACTGGGTTGGCCACATACCCCTTTGAGTCTCTTTCTGTTATTCAGAGTTCTCACTATGTTTCTCTAACCATCCACTTGTACAAAAAGGCAAAGATTTCTGGTAATTACCTCTGAGCAGGACCAACTAATGGATAGAAGCATAGTCAAGCCATAGCCTCAGTGTTGGGAGATCCAAATGCAAAGTTGTAGGAGAATTTGGAATTGGCATGGAACAGAAAGGGTGTTATCTTTTTTGTTAAGTTGTTCCTTAAAGTTTTAAAGAAGTGAATCCAAGTTGTACTGACCCTTAACCCATCCACTTACGACTTTTCTTCATTGTAAACTCTCCAAACAGCAAAATGTATCCAAGAAAGTGTTTCTTAAGATGCTGCCTGTGTGTGTGTGTGTGTGCGTGTGTGTGCACACACACACGTGTGTGAATGTCATTTTGTCTGTGTGTACATGCATATATGTGTGCATGCATGTATGTATCATATGGGAAGTTGGTAGTGGGTGAAACAGCTTGATCTGAAGGTGCCAGAAAGCCAAAAATCTACTTACAGAGAAATCTTCTGCTCAGCAATTACCTTGACTATTCCGGTGAAAAATACAATGGATTCCACATATATGCATTAATACACAATATTTGTTTTTTCTCATTCTGACTTACTTCAGTCTGGATACCAAGGGGGAAGAGGGGATGGGATGGATTGGGAGATTTGGATGGGCATATATACACTGCTATGTATACAACAGATATCTAATGAAAACTGACAGTACAGTGCAGGGAACTCTAGTCAATACTCTGTGGTAACCTGAAGGGGAAGGAAATCCAAGGAAGAGGGGATAATGTATACATGTGGCTGATTCACTTCGCTGTGTAGTAGAAACCAACACAACATTGTAAAGTAACTATACTGCCCGCCCCCTGAATACAGTGGTGTAGGGCAATGGGCCACCGGAAAACGAAAAACGAAATTTCATGGCTTGGGCCCCCTTTGAGAAAAAGATAGTATGGGAAGATAATGTGTGCTTTTCAGGTATCTTTAACTTCCAAGCCAGGGATGAAAGACCATAGACTTTCTCTACTTTTAAGTTGCCTTTGGTAGGAAAGGTAACGGACCTCATCTTTCTTTTGGGCTCAGTCTGTGATGCTGAAAATAATGCTTGGTCCAGACGGGTCAGTAACTAGTGCGTTGTTGTTTTTCTTAGTCACCACAGGAGCCATGCTGGGGATTAATGGAGCGATGGAACTGCTTCTTAAGGTCATCACCCCTTACACCCAGAAGCACACCCGAGTGATCAGGTACTGAGCACTTTTTAGTACTTTTTCCCCCTTTGAGTACATACAGAGATGGGGACGGCAAAGATATTCTAATGGGGATTGGTTGACGTGGCTATGACGTCCGCCTTAGATATGGTACAGTGACCTTCTCCTGTGTCAACTCCCATCCATCTCCACCCATGCACCCCTTCCTCTGATTGTCACAGCAAACCTGAATAGATGTGACATAATGGGTATGACACCATCCTCATTCTCGGACGAGGAAACTCAAATGTGGAGAGAGTCCCCAAGATCACAATACCAGGAAAAGGCAGAATTGGGATTTGAATTCAGCCTGATCTGTATGACTCAAAAGTCCTTTTTCTTTTTTTACCTGAAGCGTTCAGGTATCTCTTTTAATCACAGCAACTCTACCATGATGAGTACAGCCCTTTAAAGACAGTCCAGAAAGGACAGGGAAATGAAATGTTCTCAGGGTCTCTGAAGCGATGGCCAGTTAAATCTCGGATATGAAATTCTGGTTGCGTGCTAGCTTTGAGATGTGCTTTTATGATTGGGAAGTGAAACTGCCTGTTCTCCCTGGTCCTGCCTGCTGGAGTGGAGTGAATCACAAACTGAAAAAAAGGGAGATGGTCAGACACGCCGGCTTTAGAGATATTCAGAAACATTAAGATCCATCATTTATGGGAGTGACTCAGCAAGGACCTTGAAAGAATATTAGAAAAAATTCAGCCAATTTCCAAGATATATGGGGTCATTTGGCAAAGGAGCATTTCCATGCCCAGCCATGATATTTTCTGCATCCCAGCATCAATCTTCACCTCATCTTCTACCTGATTATTTTTCTCTTGGGTCACCACACTAATGCCATTATCATCCATTCTCACCTGCACCTCTCTTCACTAGCAATTCCTAGAGTGAAAAGCATCATATCTCAGTCAAAAAAAAATTACTCATCAGATATATTGAGAAGTACTGGGTTAAACAAAGTTAGGTACATTTCCTTACTCTAAGACTTCTCAGAGCTTTTGTAAAGCCAACACATATTCAGAATATTCAAGATGGGTATGTAGTGTATTCATTGTTCTTTAGTTGCTCAGTCATGTCTGACTCTTTTCGCCCCATGGTTTGCAGCCCACCAGGGTCCTGTCCATGGGATTTCCCAGGCAAGAATACTGGAGTGGGGTGCCATTTCCTTCTCCAGGGGGTCTTCCCAACCCAGGGATCAAACCCGAGTCTCCTGTATTGGCAGGCAGATTCTTTACCACTGAGTCACCAGGGAAGCTTCCAGGTAGAATATACCCTTTTCTAAAACTGATTTGGCTAGGGATCCGTTTTTGTTTGGAGACCATCTCTTTTTTGAGAGTCTGTGTGGCATGTACCTCATTTGAAAAATCTCTGAAGTGCAAATGTATTGCAAAATGAAATTCAACTAAATTCTATCAAAGGATCCTCATTTAGTTAAGTACAGAACTTTAGAGTCACAAGCTCAGTGACAAATTATTAACTTTCTTGATTTCTCTGTAATTATTGAATACATTTTATTTCCCTCTTAAACTTCATTATTCAACTTGAATATATTTGATTTGGATATTTCGGTTTTTATCATGGTTTGTAGGCCTTTGCTGCTGACATGTGCAGTCTTAATGTGGTCTTTGGTCAATAATCCATGAACTGTATCTTTTTGCCTTATTCACCAGAACTCTTTTTTTTCCCCTTCCTTTTAAAGATTGCTTTAGTTTTTTATTTTGATGTGGACCATTTTTAAAGTCCTTATTGAAATTGTTGCAATATTGCTTCTGTTTTGTTTTGATTTTTTGACTGCGTGACATGTGAGATCTTGGCTCCCCGACCAGGGATCGAACTTCCACCTCTGCGCTTGGAGGTGAAAGTTTAACCACTGGACAACCAGGGTAGGCCCCTCCAGGACTCTTCTAAACTGCTGTTGTCCCCATGCATCTCTTTGACAGCTCAGGGATATTTGGTACTTATCCTATATCATGTGAAAATCTAGCAGCGTCTCCTGGGCCCACCCACATACCAGTACCCCTCAGTGTTCACTTGGGTACCATGTTGTTTAGAGAGCTTCTCTAGGCAAGTCCTCCCTGGCTTCCCTAGGCCCCTAGCCCTTCCTGTATGGGATCCTGATAGTTTTATATCAAACTGGGGAGTGGGGAGTAAACATCAAAGCACCGAAGCCCCCTTCTCAGAGACTATGCTTGCTGCCCTCTCTTTTTCTCCTGCAGAAGGAGTAGAATTCAAGCACAGATCCAATCAAGGTGTGTAGAAAAATGGGAAAGTAACCCCAGGGATTAACAGTGGTGGATGTTTCCAATGACACAGACTTTTCAGAGACCTTGGCCTATTCCTGCATTTCTGGCCTGTTCTGGAAAAGTTAGACAAAATGATTCCCCTTCTTGAGCCAAACGCCAAATTAAAACCAAACCTCCATGGAGGAGAGGCTTTTCCACCAGCCATTTCAATAGAGCTGTCATTGCCGTGGCGTTTATTATGTGCTCTGCCCCGTGCTAAGCTCTTAGCATGCATTATCTCACTTGATCCTTTCCTCTTAGAGGCAGGTGCTATTACTGTCCCCAATTTTAACAGGGGGGGAAAAAAAGGAAGCTGAAAGAAATTAAGTAACATGCTGGGATTTAAGTGAAAGAGCTGGAATTTAAACCTTGTCTGATACATGAGCCTTTGCTCTTAAACCACCATTGTCGTATGTTACACAGCCTGTTTCCAGCATGTGATTTCTAAAACCACCATAGGTAAGACAATCATAAGCATTTAACGTTTATTTAAATTTCAGTGACCCTCTAAACTCATGGACCAATTTGCTTAATGATAGGGGAGTCTTTCTCTTCTGTTGAGTGACTATTTCCTCTTAAAGGCTAAATAAAGGTCTGTTCCCTCTGCTTTTGAATTCTTTCTCAAGGCTGCCTCGTTTTCTGCCTTACCTCCAGCCTCCAGCAGCACAATAAGAAGAAATGTGCTAAAATCAGAAGACCTGCCTTTTAGCCTTCCTTCTACCTGATTCCTTGGCAAGTCCTTTATCCTTTCTTAACTCTCACATTTCTCAAAGTGTGAATATCAAGTCCTACCTCCTAGGTTTGTTGTGGGCATTAAGAGAGAAGGTGCCAAAAATCTCAAAAGCTTTGCTGGGCTTTAATGTTGTTCCTCGTTAGGAATATAAATGCAATTGGATACTTGGCTGCCTGCTTCAGATCAGTCAGCAAAGCTAGAGGCAAACATGCAGATGGGAGGTTTCTGCCATCACTCACCTTCTCCCATGAACTCCGAGTCCCAAATAGTAACTAGGCATACCCCAGTGGGTTCTACTCAAGTCCACTGGGATGCTAGAACCCGGGGGTTTGAAACAGTCTTCCAGGGATGCAGTAACATGTCAGGGGGTCCGAATAGCTCTACTGAGGGTCATCTTGCAAGTGCTGGCAAGCTCCGGGAGAGTTATTCTCAGATGCCTCAGCGAGAACAGATGCTCAGCGTCGTTTCTGTGACTCCTCCCTGCCCTGGAGATTAAACCTGCCCTATTTCTCCAGTGCAAACCTAAAATTAGTTATGCAGCTGTCCTCCAATAAAACCCTGTCTCCAGATAGTACTCAGGGGGAGATTTACGACAGAGGCACAAGCTACACACCTTCTAGAGAGAAGGGGCATGCCGAGCAATGTCACTCACCCTCTGTGGCCTCTCGCCAACCCTCCCTCCCAGAGGAGGTGGCTGCTCCAGGCCTCCCTCACTTCCCAAATACCCTCCATGCTGGCAGGGTCTGAGGGCCATAGATTTGTGTCAGCTTGAACCTGTTTCCTCCTGACCGTCGCTTTACTCTGAGCCATTTTTAATCAGACCTAGATGGCTCCTCTAGTCCTCCAGTTGGCCTTCCCCAACTTCAAAGCAATTAAGAATGTGTCCTGGGAGATTTCGCTGGTGGTCCAGTGGTTAAGACTGCATGCTTCCGATGCAGGGGGTCAGGGAACTAAGATTGCCCAAGCCATGCAGTGTAGCCAGTACATGTGTGTGTGTTCAGTTGCTGAATTGTGCCTGACTCTTTGTGAGCACATGAACTGTAGCTCGCCAGACTCCTCTGTCCTTGGGATTCTCCAGGCAAGAATACTGGAGTGGGTTGCCGTTTCTTTCTCCAGGAGTTCTTCCGGACCCAGGGGTTGAACCTGCATTGGCAGGTGGATTCTTTACTGCTAAACCACCTGAGAAGCCCATATATATGTACGTGTGTGTGTTAAGAAATATATATATAAATTTTAAAAAGCCAATATGTCCCGATCTCCATCTCCTTCCTTACCTTTCGGTCCCCCTCTCATCTCTCTAGTCAGATACCACTACACATGGATTCCCTGTTCTGCTCTGGATCTTTTCCTCAGGTGCTTCCTTCCCTCTGGAAGGGCATCACGGTCTTATTGAAAGGGAGAAACTCCCCCCACTTTTCAGGCACCTCACGGGAAGGAATTTTCCCTCCTCCAGCGCTTTGTTCACATTTCCCTTTAACACATACCAGATTTGACTCCCGTGTTGGCTTTTCCGGTGCCTCAGTGGTAAAGAATCCACCTGTCGTGCAGGAGAGGCAGGAGAGGTGGGTTCGATCCCTGGGTGGGGAAGTTCTCCTGGAGAAGGAAATGGCAACCCACTCCAGCATTCTTGCCTGGGAAATCCCAGGGTCAGAGGAGCCTGGTGGGCTACAGTCCGCAGGGACGCAAAGAGTTAGACACAACTGGAATGATTGAGCATGCACACACATGTTTGTGTGTCTTCTCTCTCCTTGAAATTCTCAACCTTCTGAAGGTAGAAGTCAAATTATATTTATTTTGCTGTTCTCCATTGGCCCAACCCAAGTGTCCAGACCATGGTACACTCTTAATTAAAAAGAACTTCATCAATTAAAAAAAAAGTATATATATTTTGAATAACCTATCTGATGATTAATAAAAGCCAACATTTACTGAGTGGGTGCTATTTCGTGTGTATGTATTCAGTTGTGTCTGACTCT